ATTGTCCTCTGACCTCTAAACTCCTGCACAGGGACTGGGATCTGGCAAGTTCCAAAGGGAGAGAGGGCCTTGGAGGAGGTGGTGGTCTTTGGATAGCAGCTATGTGCTTTGGGGTGACCTGAATGGACCATGACCAGAAGTGGGCACAGGTAACCTACCTGGGTCTCTGGCCACTTAGGGTGACTGGCAAGTGTGGAGAGTTTCATGCAGCAAATAAAGATTTTGCTTTTCTTAGTGATATGGATTTTATAGCCTTTCAAAAAGTAATGTGGAAGTTCCATTTAATAATCATCATTCAGAACAGTAACATGGTTCAGCAGGTTAGGGCACTTGCTGCAAAGCCTGACAACCTAGGCTCAGTTCACAGAACCCACAAGGGTAGGAGGAGAGAACCGGCTCCATCAAGTTGTGTCCTCCCACTGTCATACGTGTGCTGTGCTGTGTGCATCTGCAGGCGTACACCATTCATTCATCAAATGTAAAATACCTGTCCATCTGCCCTCTAGTTATGCTGCAATATCATGAGAGTCAACATTTGGGGGCTCAGCTATTGATTATTCTGATTTTAAAAATATTTGAGCAAGCCGGGCATGGTGGCACACGCCTTTAATCCCAACACTCGGGAGGCAGAGACAGGCAGATCTCTGTGAGTTCCAGGCCAACCTGGTCTACATAGCTAGTTTATATATATATGAGTGGTTTGAAGAAACATCAGAGGTATTAAAATTCCCATCACAGTTGGTAGAATTTTCTTCATGAACATTTCTAGGACTTTGGCTACTTGTAAATATTGTATATTTTAATAATTATGTGTATAATTTGAATATACTGAAATAGTATGCGAATAATTTTGATTCTATATAGTACAAAAGGTTTTCATTCATTATTAAATAAACATTTTAATATACTTAAGGTGTTAAAAAATACCAAGACAAATGAATTTGGAAGGATTCCAACCTCATAAAAAATAGTCCCAACAATATACTGAATCTACTGCATATCAAAAGAAACAATTCTAGGAGTGAAGAGAGCCACTAAAGTGGAAGAAAATCTTTAGCAATTAGACTTGACTGGGGAGTAATATCTTGAATGTATAAATAACTCCAAAATTAAAGACCAAGAAATGTTACAAATGAATAGCAAATAAATCAGATAGTTTGAGATGTCCAATTAAAACACGACCAATGAAAGCATGGAAAGAATCTTCTTCCTTAGCCATCGGAGAAACGCAAATTAAAACTGCTTTCTTTTACATCTTCCCCGTCAGAGTGGCTGTCTTCAAGAAGACAACTGGCAAGGATTTCCAGCTCTGATGTTGGAAAGAGCAACCTTTATGGTACTGCAGTTAATGGAAATTACACAGTCACAATGAAACTTACGTGGAAGGGCCTCCAAAAGCTCGACATAAATACATACGACCCAGCGAATGGAAACTAAGTCAGCATACCACAGAATTACCTGCACATCCATGTTTATTGCAGCACTACTAGTAAGTTCTAAATTATTTTTTTGTAGTATCCAAATATACAATCTGCCTAGGTGTCCCTCAGTATGCAGATGGATGAAGAAAATGTGCTATATGTATACAATGGAAACTTATTTAGCCATAAAGAAGACAGTATTTGTGTTTTAATACCTAAATTAAATGGCTAACCATGGTTAGATTTACCCATCTTTTGTAATATAAGGTTCATTTTTCTAATATTTTTTTGTAGTATCCAAATATACAATCTGCCTAGGTGTCCCTCAGTATGCAGATGGATGAAGAAAATGTGCTATATGTATACAATGGAAACTTATTTAGCCATAAAGAAGACAGTATTTGTGTTTTAAAACCTAAATTAAATGGCTAACCATGGTTAGATTTACCCATCTTTTGTAACATAAGGTTCATTTTTCTAATAAAGAAGTGAGGTGATTTTTGTTACGTTTTAAAATTAGAATAGAAAATCATCATAAATTTTCATGTTGTTGCTCAAAATCACTAAAAATATAATAAAGACAGATACATGGGCTAATTTCCAAGAAAAAGTGATTAGATGGCACATTCCAATCACAGATGGTGTTTTCTTTTGAGACAGAGTTTCACTGTGTAGTCCTGACTGGCCTGGAACACGCTATGCAGACCAGGCTGGCTTCAGACTCACAAGGATCCACCTGCCTCTGCCTCCCCAGTGCTGGTATTAAAGGAGTGTGCCCAGCATAGATGGATTTTTTTTAAAAATAAACTTTATATAAAGCTGAAATGTAATGAAGACATAATTATCATTCAACTCCAGATTTTATTTGTAATAAAATAGTCTATTACAGATCTGGCAAGTTTTGTATACACATTTTGACAGTAGAAAGTAAACTATTTATTAGGACATAAAACCTTAATAACAAAAACAATTAAAAGCAACGACAATTACAATATAATTTTACAATATATGTTTAACCACACAGTGTAGAACTAGCAACATTACATCAGTATAATTTTTGTAATATCACTTAAATAACATATATTTGAACTTTATAAACATGTATACACTCAGTTAAGCTATTCAGTTCTTTTCCTTCTATACACAATCTTTCATACATGCCTTCATTTGTAAAAAGTGTTGCCACTGCCCCAAACATCAGGCATATTTATACTCTAATGTTAGATACAAAAAAGTTCAGAAAACACTTTAGAGTTTAATGAGTACTTTAAGTTGTAATGCAAAGATAAATATTTATGTAATACAGTTTCATATTTAGGAATATTACAGATTAATCACTTGGTTATAGGCATTTCATAATTTAAAAAGATGGCTATGGAGGAATTAGAAAGAAATTCTCTGTGTGATAGATATTTTTAAGTTAGAGGTATTGTGAGGATTTCTAGGGTTCACAAGTGCTGAACAAGACACTCTCAAGCTTCCCATAAGGAATTTACAAGTTAATAGAAAACCAAGAGTAAACATATAATGAAATTCTTTCAAAAGTGCAGACTGGGGGTGTGGGTTAGTGACAGAATACTTACCTTGCCCTGCAGTGGCCCTGCATTTAATCTCTAGCAAAGCAAAAAACCAAAATAAAATTTTATAAAGTCATTGTGCTGGGCAGAGTGGCACATGCCTTTAATGCTAGCTTTGGGGAAGTGGCGGGAGGAGGATCATGAGTTCAAGACCAGTGTGAGCTACATAGTGAGTTCTGAGCAGCCTGGGCTACATAGTGAGACCCTGCCTACAAATCAACAAACAAAAAAACAACACGCTATAGTCTGGGCTATGTGGGAATTCATAGAAGGTTGTTGGAAGAACGAATTCTAACATTCACTTTAATCTGCATACTTAGAAGATTGTTCACTTTTGATCACAATAGTAATTGATATTAAATTGTAATCTGAGGTAACCTTAGGATTTGTACATATTATTTTTCACAAATGCAAGGTTTAAATTATTGTTCCCAGAGGGTGGGCGGGTATACACAAAATATAAAACAGGAAAATACTGTGTTCCTCAGGGATGTGGTTCCATTAAATGCTTAGCATTTAGCAACCTCTTATTGCTTGCAGACACTGTATTGAAAGCATTCCTTATCCTGTAATCTTCTCAACTCTACTAAAGGAGCACTAGTATTGTGTTTGTCTTTTAGAGGTAGCAACTGTGGCCCACAGTGGTCAAAGAACTTGCCCTGTAACATAAAGCTAGAAGGCAAGCTCTTAAAGATTCTGTGGTGTGAGAGCAGCCACACAGAGTGGGAGGAAGTGGGAGGATTCAGTGCAGAGTAAGGAGCACTCAAGGTCATTCTATTCCTGAGCTATTTGTTTCCCTAGATCATGTAGGAGATAAGTGACATGAATCATCACCCTGCACAGGTAATTCCCTCAAAAATCCCTCTTATCAAATAGAGATATTCTGTTGTGTCTGCTGTGAATATGCTACCAAGGCAATGCAGGAAAATTTCCTGATTGTGTATGTAATTATTTTAAAGCATTAGCAAATTCATGACACAGTACTAGGTAAGACCCGTTTGCCATTAAGTTAAACTATTGTTTTTACTAGGGCTTGTACTTGATTATTACATGGTTATCAAATTCCACAGTGATACATTCTTATACTTTGTCTTCAGTTTATAGCGCCATACCTCTTATAAAACTTTATCTAGGAATTACAATGTACCTTGGTTCCATAAACAACTCTTGTCAATACTGCAATACTAGCCAATAAAGCCTTTAACTAGCTCTGCCCAGAGTTAGGTATCTGTTAAAGTCCATTGGTTTTCATTTGGCAATCAGTGAATTAAATAAAAGTTACTTGCTGTAACACAGTAGCAATGCGTTTCCAAGGCTGGGGTTGTAGCTCACTGGTAGTGTGCCCAAGGCCCCGGGTTCAGTCCCCAGCACAGAAAACAAAACCACAAATACAGAGAGAGAGAGAGAGAGAGAGAAAGAGAGAGACAGACAGACAGACAGACAGACAGAGACACAGAGACAGACACTGAGACACAGAGAGACACAGAAAGACAGAGAGAGAGACAGAGACAGAGACACAGAGACAGAGACACAGGCACAGAGACAGAAAGAATGTAATTTCATGTTTTTAAGTTGATTCAAAAACTAGTTTTCAGATTTTTCAAACAAACTCTAAAATTTATTTGATAATTTCAAGTATTTCCTAAAACAAATTTTAATTACTTAACCCATGCAGTGCTCTAGCTCACAGAATAAGTGAACTCCTATTGTTTAAAAGGGCTTTTGTAAAGAGTAATTTTTGCAAAAAGTGCAATATACATGACTAAAATTAACAACTGATATTTCTCAAAGACCGTTGGATACAACTTGTAAAAATATACCTTTACTTAAATTTAGCACCATTTCTGTATGTAAAAACTGATATACCAGATATGAAAATGGTTAATTATGTATAGCCTACTACTCATTTCTTTATGTAGTGCAAAAGCTTACCTCCCAGAACAACTTCCCAACTGTGCGTATACTCATAAAGAAGCCCTCTGACTATCTGAACATTTTCTTTTTAAAATGGAGATGTTTCAAAGGCAGAGAAAGGCCTGAGTCTGGTTAAATAATTGAAGTAAACATAAGAGGCAGTCACTAGCACATTTTTACAAAGGCCCAGTATGGGTGTGATAGTTCCTAAGACAATTATTAGACTGAGTCTAACGAAAATGAAGGGTAAATCCTGCAGCAGGATGCCCAGGGAGTTGAGAAGAGGGTTTCTAGGAGTGAAGACCATCCGCAGGAGAGAAATGAAAGTGAATATGTAGACTGGGTACAGCCAGCCTGACTTGTACACAGCGGGGTGACCAGCCACACGCAGCATCTCTATCGTGTCCGACCACGTCAGAAAGCTCCACAGGAGTAACTCCGCCCGGACATCTCTCCTAGACATGGCTCCCAGGATCCCAGAGCGGAAGGAGGGCTCCAGGGGCGCCCCCACCACCGGAACCCGGCTCTGTGGTCCGGATCTGGCTGTGGGCTTGGCTGCCTGCGGAGACGTGGGGTTTTCCTCACCTTGCCCCACTTGCGCTGTCACGGTTTTGATCTGCTGCAAAGACGTGGTATGGATGTGATTATCTTCATAACCTGCAATACAATGATTGATTGACATTTTAAGGTTTTTTTTTAATTTAAAATGTTTAAATGTTATTAAACTCAGTTTAGTGGAGCAGTCCTATAATCCTAGCTGAGAAGCCTGAGGCAAGAGGGTGGTAAGTCAAGCTAGCCTGGGCTACATAGTAATGCTGTCTCAAGCACAAACTAGCAAAAAACTAAGACAAATAATAAGTAAGAAACAGGCACAATGGCTCAGTGACCTTTGCTTTTGCTTCTCTCACTGAAGCCTGATGACGTGAGTTCAATCCCAGAATTCCCTATGAAAGGAATGAATCAACTCTTAAAAGATGTCCTCTGACCTCCCTATTTTGGAACATGTACTCCTGCACATACACACATCAGACACACACATCAGACACACACACATACCACATAATAAAATAAAATTTATAAATGTTATTAAAATGTGAAATCCAAAATTCAATCTCAAAATAAAAGTCTAAGTACTTGACATACGGAAAATAACAAGGGGCTGACACACTGAAAAACAAAAATAGAGGCGCTTAGACCTCGGTGTTCTTCTCGGATCTGGATCTTAAGTCACTTGCACAGTTTCCCAGGAAAACTTTATTGGTTACTTATTGAATCCTTGAAACAAATGGATAAATGATTACTAATCCACTTTACAGTTTTGGAAACTGAGACCCATGAGATTAAATGATGTCCAAATTCAAACACAGAGTCTTGGCAGAGCTTGAACTCTCATGCTGAACTTCTTGACTCCAACTGACAAACTTAACTTTATGGCTTCTATTATCTGTGTAGATGCAAGATACCATGTGCTAATTATAAAACACAAGAGTACCATAAGGTCAGATGAATGGAAAGGTTGTCAAGATCAAACAGGCTCACAGGAATGGCTCCACTTCCGTTTCCGCCGGAGGTGGGGGCAGGAGAGGCTTGGTGCTAATAAGGAATCTGACCTATAGAGAGCCCTCATGAAGAACAAGCTGAATTCAAGACAGCTGAGCTCTTCTTTCTCAAAGGTTTTTGAAGCAGTTAGTAGAACTGGTCAGCTGAAAGCATCCCATCTGGGTCATCAACACACATACCAGTTGAATGGAAAGCTTACTTATCACTGTCACTTGGGGTGTGTGTAGGGGTGTTCTTCAGTGTGTACATGTGGGTGTTGAAGATGGGGGTTATGAAGGGATCCTCAAATCTCATGACCTAAAATGGTGTTATTGGCAGTGGTGTTTCTGATATTGAACCCAGAAAGGCTCTCTACCACTGAACTGCATCTCCAGCCTCAGACTGGCTTTGAACATACAATCCTTCTGCCTTAGCCTCCAGAGTGCTGCAATTAGAGGTATGTAACACCACACCTAGCTCTGACGTTATTTTTATATATGAAAGGTATAGATATTCTCTCTCTCTCTCTCTCTCTCTCTCTCTCTCTCTCTCTCTCGTGTGTGTGTGTGTGTGTGTGTGTGTGTAGGGGCACAGGTGTGTGAATGCCAGAAGTCAACTCCTGTTTCTCAGGAGTCATCTACCTTGTTTTTTGATACAGGGTCTACAGGGTCTCTCACTGAGACCTAGGGATTACTGGTTTGGCGATGGTGGCTGGTCAGGAATACCCAGGGACCTGACTGTCTCCACATCCCTTGTGTTAGGATTACAAGTGCTTGCCACCACATCCAGCCTTTTATATGGATTCTGGGGATCGAACTCATGCTCGTGTGGAAAGCCCTTTACAGATGGAGCCCCTTATGCTCTTTTCAAACTTTTATCCACTTAAAGACCATTTTTGTTGCTAAGACTGTATCAACCTGGTTGAGTTTACTGAGAACATGCTGACTGGCCCTGTCACCTGACAAGACTGAAGGCAAAGGCAGTATTGGCAGAATAGCTCTGAGGGGCAAAAGACAATCAATCAAAACGTGTTGGACTATATTGAACTGAAAGTGAAAACATCTTGAAATAAAATTTGAGTCATGGCTAATAAAATGCTTAGTTACTATGTAGATAAGAATGTTTATTAAGAATACAATGAACAGGGTTGGAGATGTGGCTCAATAGTTAGGAGCACTGGCTGGCTGCTCTTGCAGAGGACTCGGGTTCAATTCCCAGCACCCACATGGCAGCTAACAATGGTGTATAAATCCAGTCCCAGGGAATTTGACACCCTCTTCTGACCTCTGTGGGCATTGCATGACATGTGTGCACACAAGCAAGCATAAAATAAATAATGTAGCACATGACATGCATGCACACAAGCACACATAAAATAAATATAAATAAAATATTTTTTTAAAAAGAATGCAATGAACTTTGGTGGTTTTCTCATACAACTAACATTTAAATTTTTAAGCATAAATTAAGGATTTTTATAAACAACAAAGATTATCTAAGTTAATTTTCTTTTTTGTGTGTGAGGGTTACTAGGTGTGGTATGAACTTGTTTGTGTGTGTGCATGTGTAAGGCCAGAGGCAAACTGTGGGTGTCTTCCTCAATTTTTAAAGAAAAGAACAGTCACTGAACCATTGATTTGGCTATGCTGTCTAATGAGTTTCAGGGATCTGTCTGTCTCTATCCCCCTCCCCACCACCTACCACCAATAGGTGAAGTTACAGCCTCCATCTTTTTACTTGGGTGCTGGGAATGTGAACTTGGGTCCCCAGTTTACACAGCAGGCACGTCACTGAGTTGTCCCTTTAGCCCTGATTATCTAGATTCTTAATGAGATATTCCTTACTTCTGGAATGCATCCATCCATAAGAACACCATCGTACCCATAGCCTTTAGACACTTCTTTACCCATGTGAGAAGTCACAGTGGTTTGAATAGATATCATTTTCACAAACAATACTCTGGCAAAAGAGAATATTATATTATATTATCGATCATTGCTTCTAGACTCATAAAATCATCTTTTAAAAAAAGCCTCAGGCCAGGCATGGTGGCACATGCTTGTAGTCCCAGCACTTGGGAGGCAGAGGCAGGCAGATATCTGTGAGTTCAAGGCCAGCCTGGTCTACATAGTGAGTTCCAGGACAGCTGGGGCCACAGGGAGACCCTGCTTCAAAAAGACAAAAAGAAAAAAAAAAGCCTCAGGTCACTTGTATTTTTCATTTACTTTTAAAGAATTCAATAAAGAGGGGCTGGAGAGATAGCTCAGTTGATAACGTGCTTGCCATGCAAACATCACATCCTGGGTTTTTCCCTAACACCCATGTAAAAGCCTGGACATGGTGGCATAGGTTTGTAATCCCAGTGCTGGGGAGGTGTAGCCAGGAAGATCCCAGAAGCTTGATGGCCAGCCCACCTGCTCAATTGGCAAGATCCAGGCCAGTGAGAGACTTTGTCTCAAAAATAAGGTGAACAGTATCTGAGGACAACATCCAAGTTTGGCCTCTGGCCTCTACACACACACACACACACACACACACACACACTATTCAGTAGAGAACATACATTTCTTGAAGTATGCCATGTCTTAGAGAATGCTCCTTTTCTTCACTTAGTAGACAAAATTGTGTAAATGAAAAACCAAATCCTGGAAATATTGGAGGGAGAGAAAGGGGAAGAACAAGAGAAGCAATAGGATATATAACATGAAAACAGAAAGAGGCCTATTTGAGAGGGGAGGGGGGACTAGCACAAGAGGAGCAGGCAGGACAGGGAAGGCTGGGAAGTAAGAACAAAGCATGTTAATAAAAGAGGAAGCGAGAAACCCAAATTTTTTCGCCAACACTGAGACCATCGTGACAACACTGAGAACATCATGCCAACATTAGGAACATCATGACAACATTGAGACCATCATGACAACATTGAGAACATCATGATTACAACCTCACCATTGTTTCAAGGCCAAGAAGTGATCATCTAAGAAGTGACACATTAACAGGTTCTAAACGGTCACTGCGAAGAAGAAGTGCCAGTCTGAACTTTGAATTCTTAGCTTGTGTTTGATTTTGATGAGATACCAGACCTAATCCACGTGCATTTGATGAAGTGCAGGCTGGGAGTGTTGGATGTCACCACAGCTTAGTGGGGACTACTTTAGATTTGGGGGCTCAGGGACTGTTGTCCTGATTTCCTTTGAGAAGCAACAAGACTATGAAGGGTAGCTCTCCACTGGCCTCCTCGGGGGCAGAGGAGATATGAAGAAGTCAAGACACATTTGGACCACTAGGGTAGACCAGCAACGGATCGCCAAGTAGCAGATATGCTGTGTCGTCAGCAACTGGCCCCAGCGCTAACTTTAATGCTGCTTAAATTTCCTCTTTTTCTTGCTGTTGGTTATTATTTGCTCCATTTCAGTAAAACATTATATGTCTGAGCAAAACATACAAAAGATAGACATTTAGAGAACAGAATCCACTCACATCCTAAGAAGCTCATGGTGCCCAGAGCCAACTGAAAACCACAGGCAACTATGCAGCACCCCACTTAGTGTCTGTTGATAAACAGCTTTACTGTACTAAATAAATAATTTTAAAACCATTGTTTTGATGGCAGGTAGGCGTTTCAGTAGGCAAGCCTTACTTATCTTACCTTATCAGTTACTTCTATTGATTTACTTCTAATTTATTTCCCCCAAAGTTTGTGATGGTTTACATGGAGAAAATGATGTGGCGTAACAAATCAGCACCAAGGCGTTTTAGATGACATTTATTCCTTTTGCAAAGAGAACAGGAAGGCTGTAAGCTATCTCAGTAGAGAAAGAGAATAGATTATGAGGAAGGAACCCTAAAAAGCCAAGAATGAGCCGATATGAAAATTCACAAATTAGACTCCCAGCTGCCTGCTCTGATCAGACACTGATCAGACAATATTAAATGCTGCACAACAGCTAGGCATGATATAGCTGTAACCCCAGCACTTGGGAGGCTGAGGCAGGAGGATTCTAAAACAGTTTACACAACAAAGGCTACATAGCAAGACTCTGTCTCAAAAACAGAAAAAAAAAAGCCAAACATAATTGTTACCCCATGCCTAAGTGGTCAAGCAAATAGCATCCCCA